GTGTAGTAACTTTTCTATTTTTTAATTTTAGTAAGAAGAATATTATAGATCAGTTCCAGGGGGAATCCCCCAATTCTTAAACTGATTAAACATCCTATAAGCATTTCCCACTCATTATTTAATTGTTATTTAGTTTTTATAATAATCACAAGAGATAGCTATAGCTATCATTTTCACAGAAGAAAGTAGGGGAAGAAAAGGATTAAGTAATGGAGTCAACTGAACAATCCTGGAAGATGAATTCTTCACTTGGCAAGATCTTCTTTTCTGGAGACTTCAGTATGTTCCTGGCTCCAGGTCTTTGCTTGCAAGTTGACAAGTCCTGTTTAGTCCCAAAATCAGGCATCACTACAGCTACAATCAAGAGAGGGAAATGAAGGTTTTAGTATTTACAATACTGTCAACCAGCTACTGGTTATTTGGAAATTACTGGCTACTGTTCTGCCCAAACTGTCCTGCCTATTTGGCAATGCACAGCTCTTCCTAACTCTGCCCTGTGCTAGGCTGTGTTCACAACACTGAGCCTCTGGCTTCCAGCATGTTTAAGTCACCCCTGAGGACGCCAAGTTCCATTTCATGTCACTCCCAGTAGCACCTGTGTCCTAAACACCAGTCCTATCAGAGCAACTCTACAGCAAAGTACAGGACCACGAACAGAGACAGTGTCACGGTTATATCATATGGAGCCAAATTTTTATGGCACAATCAATTGGAAAATGCCTTCATTCCCCTTTTATTGCATATAGCAGAATAAGGTAGGACAGAAGAAATTAAAGGACATAAGGAAAATTATAATTTTTAAAGTTGCACTTAAAGTTGTTCTAAAGCCACAGCTTCAGAACACAAGGTTACCCAAGGTTATCATTTTGTTCTCCTTTCCAGGAGACTAATCCTCAAATCTCAAAATCTTAAAGGGGGCCTGCCCCTTAGCTCAGTTCTTGAAGTGGCTGCTTCAACAAAGCAGCTCAGGTTGCTGTGGCTCGATCCCCACAACTCAAGCCACAACCTGCCCTGAAGGCATTTGGAGCAAAAAAAAAAAAAAAAAAAATCTTAAAAAAGAATATGAAGATGGGGCCAGTGCCCTTCTGTAGGGCAGGTCTTTTCTTTGTAGAATGGGCCATGGGCTTTCACCTGGAAACTGAGCCCTAGAGATTTTTCTCCCTCCACTACAGATTTACAAATTCCACAGATTTCCATCCCCAAGAACATGTACTCAGATTCAGCGAGCCTGAGACTATAAATCCCCTCCTCCCTGGAGAGCCCACACTCCCCGCCTTCAATTCTTCCTGCTAACCCCATGCATGCCTCTCCTGGACTCATCCTGAAATGCTTTCCTGTTGCTATGGCTTTCATCTAGCTGCCTCCACCAAAGCCTCCTGAGGTCATAGGTGGGGCTCTTTCAGAGCTGTCTAGATCTACAGCGTGTGTTGGATTTGGGGCATGACGCTAAGATTAAGTGCTAGGGTTAAGCCTGGGCAGTTACTAGATTAGTCCACTGATTGGCACTGTCCTAATCCCCGTAGCCTAGATAGAAAATGCAAGGGGCAGAAAAAAGCTGCTAAGGTCCCTTGCTTGCCATCCCGGGTGCCCTGAAGAGCTTCTCCTCTGCACTGTCCACTTGCTGCAGCACCTAGCCCACCATGAACTAAGACCTCTACAAACTACAAGCCAGACAGACCTTTTCTCTCTTAACTTTGGATATTGGATATTTTGTCTCAGCAAGGAGAGAAGGAATTAAGATACCCATGATAGAAGTCAGTGACCCTACAACCTATTCCACAGGTGGGCTGAATTAAGGTTTCCATCTGCTCTTTAAGAGACTTCCTCAGGCCCTTGGGACAATGTATTATAATGAAATGATTAGACATTTTGGTTTCAGTATGCTTTAGTACACCTAGCTGGGGACAAATTCATCGACTGAATATGTCTGAGAGACAAATTGTTTTGACTTAAGGAATCTGCCCAAGTTCCCACTCCAGAGCCAGGAGTGGAGACATGGACACGTGAGTCTGTTTGCTCCTGAGTCTTTGCTCTCATCAACTAAAACCCAGAGTACGCAGTCTGAAAACAGAGGTGGATATGCATAGTATTGTCAAGGACACCTTGGATCTGTAAAAAATGAAATAACAGTGTCTATTTCCTCTTCCTGTTCCCACAGGGGGCTGCTACAACGGCTCCCTGCTTATCCTGCCTACTGTTGCTGGTTTCCTATCAAAGTGTCGCCAACCAGAGAAGGTTCCTTTCTTGGTAATGGAAATGACAACCAAAGCAACACTATGAATTTCCAGGCAGAAGATTGCATTGGATATTGAAGGAAGATATGGAAAGAATTCCACCTTGAATAACTGGAGGGGCCACTCTGAAGAAAAGGATCAGACCAGCCCATGCACAAAGAGCAGATTGGCCAGGGACTGTGGTGGGCTGGGTCCTAAGCCATCATAGCTCAGTCCTGGTTTTGCAGCTCCAGGGTGATCCTCATAAGTCAGGAGAAAGTAGTTCCCATGCCACCTTCTGTCACGCGCTTGCACCGTGATGCTCCTCCTTTGCAGTCAGGTGACGGTGATTGAATTCTCTTAAAATGTGAGCCAAATTAAACTTCTCTTCCTTTACGCTGGAGGGGACGGATGTTGTTCCCATCAACAGGAAAGCTGAACAATACAGGGACAGTCCCTAGAGATCCACAACTCAAAGCTTCCGCCTTCTAATCCCACTTCTGATAGTCTGTCAGAAGAAAGCATGCTAAACAACTGGGGCTAATCTTCTAATCCTGCTCAGTGCAGAGCCACAGAGTTGAGTGGGGATCTGAGCTCCTCCAGGTAAATGATTTCCTAAAGATAGCAGAACCTTAATAAAGGACTCTCAGGCCGCCCTCACAGGGCATATTCACAAAGCACTGGCAATTGTCTGGGGAACATTATCATGCTAAAGGGGGAAAATACAGAATACAACCAGTACAATTTCAATAGCCGACCAGAAAATAAATGATTTAATAACACAGCACAATCTTGAGTTACGTGGAAAAATACTTCTGTGGTTGAGGAAGTCTGGAAAACATCAAGTTAACCTTGAACAGGTTGCCCTGGATTGCCATGCCCAGGTGACTGCCAGTCTTGCGGACAGGAAGGCACTCAGCCTCGCCCACCTGGGCCACTGCCCTGTCTGCTCCAGGGCAAGGTGATACATGGGCAGGGCCAGGGATAAGTGATCCGGTCAGCAGGCTGCCACAGGAGAATGGGCTCATTTTTTTTCCAAAACGAAATAGAAGATCCATTCAGAACTATAATTAAATAATCCATTGGTTATTTGTGGATTCTTTAATACTGTATATAACAATCAAGTTTAAACTGCTTGTTACCTTCAACCTGTAATTCCACCTAGGAGGTCCTACCCATAACAAACTAAGCAGCAATACAGCTAATGGTTTCTCTTGGAAAATGCTAATCTCGGTATTGTTTATTACAGTCCCATACTGCAGGTGTTTTGCACGCTGAATAATAGAGCATTGATGGAAAATACGCATTAAGTGTATATGTATAGATTTTGTGTGTATCTCACAATGATAAATGTATGTGCATAGATTCTGTGAATTTGATATATATTTAATGGATATACATAGACTTTGATTCATTTTAATTTGATATGTATTGCTTCAAAATGAGTTTTCAAATTTTAATGACGTATGTGGGACGAAAGCGCATACTTAACATAAACCCGCTTTTAAGCATGCACACAGATGTGGAGTACGCACGACTAGAACACAGAGCGGGGTGACTGCATCAACACACAAGTGTGCCGACCCCACGGGGCAGATGGAGGAGGAAATGTTTACTTTTACAATTAGGGAGGGAAATAATTTTTGCTTAACAATCCCACACCCTAAGCAGGGTCCCAGTGTGCTCAACCGCCCTCTCCCGCTCATCCTGCACCAGCATCCGTCGATCCACCCAGGCCCTGTGGGGAACGCGGTCCTTTGACACTCATGGACACAGCACATGAATGGATCTAATCCGTTCCGTGCTCTCTGGGGAGCACTGGGAGGAGAGTTTGGGGCAGTTTTGCCCAGGACAGTGACTGCTTTTCCAGTCATCTTTTGCTATTCTATCAGAGGATAAGGGTGGGGTTGGGGGGCCCAACAGAGCCTGGCATATGAGGCAGGGCATGGGAGTAGCCCAAGGACAGTGTCACTGTCCCTCGATGGGGGTCTTTTGCAGGTGGGCCTTGGCTGCAAGGCTCAGTTGTACAGAAGTCTCCTCTGTCCCCATCTAGGGAATGCTATGCCCTCCTCACAGGGAGCACACGTGAAAGCCAGGCTACCCTGTAGTTAGGCTGTGCTTGTCCTTGCCTCTTCCAAAGTGTACCTGTAGGCTGGTCCCATACTAGGATTGGGACAGTTCTGGTAAGAGACAAGCCAAAAAAGGCCAGGCTTCACTTGCCTAACTCCACTTCCAAACACCCTTCTCTATTAAAGGGAAGAAATCACAGGCAGTGTATTTCTACCCAACTTGGGAAGCTTGTATATAGAGAAGTGTGTAAGGTCTTGTGCTTCCTCTAGACACTGCTTCCCAAATCTGAAGGTGGAGTCCCACCGAAGGAGGTCAGGGAGGGAGTACCTGTGGAGGGTGTACTCCTTGGTAACATTTTAGTCACCATGACGTGAGCAGCCTCCTCCACCATACCCTTCTGCCATGATGTTCCTGCCTGAAAACCTGCCAGCCACAGGCCAAAAACTTCGACATTCTTATCCAAATACACCATTTCTTCCTTTAAACTGTGTATGTAGACATTTTTCCCCAGCAAAGGGAAAGCTGAAGTGATCAATACAGGGTCATTTCTGACACCATTCGCTTCCACTCTGTCCTTGCCCCTTGGGATAAGGGATGTGTCCTTCCTCCTGCCACTCAAGGTTCCAGACCCACCTGGCCCCCAGCACAAGCTCTGAGGGGCAAGGGTCACTAGCTGCACCCCCTGAGCACCAGCACTCAAGGCCTACAAGTCCTTACCCTCAAGAACTCCAGCTCCGCATCCTCTCCCCACAGTGCAGAGCTGTTCTGGTGCATCTCTGAGATCTCTGCTTGAGCTCGGAGAGCAGTCATCCTTTGGATCAAAGTGGCAGGGATATAATCTTCAACTCGAAAATATGGCTTACTCTCTGTCTGCTGGAAATGGGATGCAGAGGAAAGAGGCATAAACCAGATGTCCCTGTGGGCTTCTGAGTAGGACAGGAATAGGTATGTAGTCAGAATCTGATCATGACCCCTGTGCATGCAGGGGTCTTGAGGTGCCCACCTGGGACAGCATCTTCTACCATCTTAGAAGTGGGGCCAAGCCCCACAATGTACACAAAAGGGAAAGAGAAAAGGAACCACCTGGTTTCAGTCCCCTCTGTGCACTTGATGGCCCTTAGAAGCAGCAGGCTCTTCAGATCCTCACGGTGATCTTGTGATAAAGTACCAGAGCCACAGCCAAGATAAACAAGCTAGAAAGGCCAAGGTCGCACCACTTGCAAGTGACCCAAACAAGGTCTGTCCACCCCAAATCCCTATGCAGGTCCACAGTGGCTCACCACTTCCCAAAAAAGCACAGCACAATGCTGGACCCAACACTTTGCTCCTTGTTAGCACTTAGCACCTCCATCCACACATGCTCTGGTACATGGTCCCCTCTTAGGACAAAGGTCTCAGCTATGCCACCATCTCTGCCCAAGGAGTTTAGAAGAACAGGAACCCAGCCCCCAACCCATGTTTCTCCAGGCCTCAGCCTTCATCAGGTCTGCACTTTAGGGGTTGAGGCTGCAGCTCCTCTGGGAGAGGTCAGAAGATCGCCATCACCCACTGCCCCATAGCAGGCATCCTGAACGTAGGGAAAGCATGCTGACCTATGGAGGAGTAGTTTCAGGGCTCACTGTAGATCATGAGGGTGGTAGGGCTGGGCAGAGGGGAAGCTGAGCCTGCCTCTGCAATCCTGATCAGCCCATCCTGGTCAGGATATCCTACCAGCCTGCGCATGCCAAGCCCTGGTCCCCAGCTTTGGGGAAAGACAGCCAAGAGTTGGGAGAATCTAACATTCTGCATGAGGGGTGCATGAGTCAGATTGTAAGGCTTCCCAAAGGGGACCACCACACTCCCACCATGCTCAAGCTTGATCCTGCACATGCCAGGTCTAGGCTCAGCACAGAGGCACAGGGCACAGCAATTACTCAGAAATCAAGTGTATAAAAATACATGCAAATTGTTAGTGGAATGGCCAGTCCAGACCATGGGCACCACGCAGCACTGGTGGAGATGTGGAAGGTGGAACTTTCACTCCCTGCTGGTAGGAATGCAGAGTTACAGCAACTTAGGGTGACAGTTGGGTGATTTCTTACAAAAGTAAACAAACTCATACCATAGGGTCTAGCAAATATGCCCGTTGGCACAACTGTACCCTGTGTCTACAGAAACAATCCCCTTTCCGGGGCTGGGGGTGTAGATCAGCCATAGAGCGCTTGTCTACCATGCATGAGCGCCCAGGGCTTGAGCCTAGGCCCACAAAAAAGAAAAAGAAAGAAAAACACATGGATGTCTGTGGAAGCTTTATTCATAACTGCTGGAAGTTGGAGGAAAAGCTGTCCTCCAGCAGGTGAGTGGATCGTAATGGCAGGGCATGCAGGCAGTGAGCTACTACTATACAGCACCAAGAAGAAATGAGCTCTCAAGCCAGCAAAAGACACGGAGGAACTTTAAATGCAGATCACTAAAGAAAAGAAGCCAGTTTGAAATGGCTACATGCTGCATGGTTTCAATTATATGACATCCTGTTAGGGAGACAGTGAAAATTCCTCTAAGCCCTGGTAACCAGGGCTTAGAGGAAAGGAAGGGCTAAAGGGGCAGCAGCAGAAGACTTTCAGGGCAATGAACCTACTCCACATGTACAGTGATGCATATCTGTCTTTTGTAAATTTCTCATGCCCATAAGATGTATAACACCAACAGTGACCCAGCATGAACTGCGTACTCTGGGTGATAATGAGGCCTCAAAGTAGGGTCACCAAGGCTAACAAATGTACATTCTGGAGCAGGATATTTATCATATAGTGTGGGGTATGTACATGTAGGGCTGGGGATGTGGGAAATCACACACCTTCCACTCACCTCTGCTGTGACCCTACAACTCTTTGTTAAGGCTTGGACCTAAAATGTCTCCCACAAGCCCATATACTAAAAGCTTGATCACCGGCCTAGGGCACCTCACGGAGGTGGTGACTTGTGGGAGGAAGCTAGATCCCTGGGGGCATCCTTGGAAAGTATATTGAGACCCTGGTCCCTTTCTCTCTTTTTCCTTGTAGCTCTGCTCCACCATGCACTCCCCATCAGGATGCACTGCCCTTCAGCACAGATCAATGGAGCCAAACAGCCATGGACTGCAGTCACTGAAATCATAAGCCAAATACATCTTTCCTCATTGTAAGCTGACAATAATCAACTTTGTCCACAACCATGGAACACCAACTATCATGTACTCTGAAAAAATAAAACATTTAGACAAAAAAGCATTTAGGATCTTTGGCCTAGCATCTCATTGCTAGGAATATATCTAGGAGAAGAACCAAACATACACCTAGAAAAGCTGCAGGCACAAGGATGATTATTTGGATGTCATTTATAAGACACAAAGATCAGAGGCAACTGCAAGGATAACAGCGATTAGTACCATATGTAGCCTGTCAGGTCAATGCCCTGTAGTAAGGCCATGGGGAAGTGAGGGAAGACACAGCCCTGGGAGCCAATGGCATAGCCTCCCCAGATACTTTCTGGAAGGTGCAGGAAGGACATGCACCACAAAGAAGGGACAGAACACAATGTTGGCAATGTTTACAACAGTGTCAAAAAAACCACAGGTAATGTAGGCTGAAAGAGAGTGTGCCCAGAGGAAAGTTGTTCTGTCATGATGATGTGATTAAGGAGATTTATTTTTATACTAAATTGTCTTTGTCTCCCTTTTTAAAATGCAAATATAATCATTACTTCCCTGCTTAAAATTCTTCAGGGAATTTCAGTCTTTCATAATAATGGTTTTCAAATCTCTTTCTTACCCTAGCGACAGAACCACTTATCAAACAAAATAAAAGCCCTGGAGGAGCACACTGGTCTTCCCAGATGTGACAGATGGTGCCATCAGCTACTAGCCGGCGAGGCTCAGGCTGTGGTGGGCAGGGCCACCTCTTCTTCCTGCTGCTCACTTATAGGTACACACATGGTCTGGCCTCTATGGGGTATCCCAGCTATGATACAGTTGAAGGCTTGGTCACTGGCTTGTGGCACTACTGGGAGGTACTGGGACCTATAAAATGTGAACCAAATATATGGTGCATGTTTAAATTTTGGAATAAGTCTATGTTAAAAGACACACTGCCATCAATCCTCCTTAAGATGCTCCCTCAATCTTCAAACACAGGTATCCTGTCATGCTTGCCACTCTCTGAAGCAGTTCTGGAAGTCCTCTTTCATGAGTGTCATTAGTTGTGTTGTTGTGGCTGCCCCAATGTCCTGAATCAATGTGGAAGGTATGTCCATTTTTTTGAAGGTTTCAATTGTACTTTATTTCTTCAATAGGCTATATTTTATTGGATACACAGGGCTTTTATTTGGCATCAATTATGATTTCATTTAGAAATAATTTAGCTGTATCATATCAGCTGGCATGATTACTGATCTCTCTATTCCTTGGGGGTGACTTTGTCAACAAGGGAAAGGTCCCATTCTGTTCCAGTTTATGTTGCTGTATAGGTCCATGCAGCAATACAGAATGTGGCTCTGCCAACTAATAGAGCATTACCATATTTGTCATGGAAATCAGATGTCTGTTTCTGGTGGCTCTGCCTTGCTACCATTTGTTGAATGATTCGAACTAGAAAATGACCTAATGTGTTTTTGGCCAAGGGAAACATTGTGGAGTTGAAGGTGAAACTATTGCAGCTGCCGGCTTGGTGCAAATTACTTCCAGATACGCTTGCAAAGAGCCGGTATGTCCATTTTGACTATGAAGAGGAGCCAGAGGTCACACGGGCTCAGATCTAGTGAAGAAGGTGAGTGTGGGCATACTGTGATGTTCCTACAGACCTGATTGCCTGCTGGATGGAACTTGGCAACAGCATTTACCATGCTTTTGTTCATCACACCTTACAAAGACACTCATGAAAGAAGACTCCCAGAACTGCTTCAGAAAGTGACAACAACCATGGAATAAATGTGTTTGAAGCAAGGGGGGGGGAGCATTTTGAGGGGGACAAATGGCAATTCATCTTTTACTGAGATACATTATTTAAAAATACATTCATCATCTATTGTGATCATACATTATAGGAGGTGGGGTCTAGTGGAAGGAAGTGAAGTCCCTGGAGACCTGGCCTTGAAGAGGATATTCGGACCAAGCCTCTCCCCTCTCTGCTTCCTGATCAGCAAGAGGTGGGAGGCCTCCTTCACCATACACTTCCATCACCATATGCTGCCCCAGAGGCCAAAGTGGTGGAGCCAAGTGACCGTGGGTGGACTAAAGCTCTGCATCTGCTAGCCAAATCAACCCTGCCTCCCTGTAAATGAGGGAGGAGTACACACACACACACACACACACACACACACACACACACACCTGAAGTGCCTCCTACAGTGCCTGGCACAGAGTGAAGTCAACAAGGAAACTGGACTCAGGATGAAGTGGATGTGACAGTGCAGGCTCATCATCAGTAGGGGATGTGGAGAACACTTACGGCGTTTTGCTCATATGGAGGCTGGAAGTGGAGGAAATCTCCATTTTCCACCCACTTTTGTTGTCAAACTAAAACTGTTCTAAAAATAAGTATTAAGATGTTTTTAGTAAAACTCATTTAGGACCTTTGACCCAGCATCTCATTGCTAGGACTTTACCCAAGCAATCATGAGAAGTGAGTCCTGGCTGGATTCTTAGCAGCTCTCTGACTTTGTAGAGCTACAGTGTTCTCAGCTGCCAGTGGAACATCCTTGAATGCTTGGGGTTAGCTTAAGGACAAGAGTGTGGGAGGCACAATAACTCCAGGCCTCCAATCCTATTGCTAGTGGGTTTCTGGGTTCCTGTGAAACTGCCACATCATGATTCCTTGCCATGTATCCCACAATGGTCACCTGAGCGCCTCTGACCTATAAAATTCTCTTGGTGCATCAGCGTCATTAGTGCCGATGACTTCCTCTTCTCCTACCTCAGCTGAGCTAAGTTCCTAATTCTTCTTACCCTGCCTATTTCCCATAAGTCTCCTGCTATGCCCTGGAGGTGGGACTTCCTGTCATAGCCCGGTTGCCTAGTTATTCGCACCTTTTACCCGCCGACATCATTTCCCTATGCCTCCACTATATAAACCCAGCATCTCCCCCGAATAAAAGAGACTTGAGCAGAATCCTGTCTTGTCTCCATTTCTCGCATCTCCTGTCCTTTGTCCCCTCCTCAATTCCCTGCTCCTCTCCCAGGTGACCTTCGTTGACTGACCCGCTGGCTCAGGACACAAGAGGGCACCAGGCATGGAGTAGGCCCTCCATTGATTAGGACTGAGGCTAAATGCAAGAAGAGAGGTTGTGTCACCTGTGACCTATCGCAAGAAAACAATCTCTGACTTGAGCCACCCACTGGGGGCAAAAGGGAGAGCATCTTGGAAAATGCTCTAGGTACTGAGGCGTGGAATTGACAGATCTGGGGTGGGGAGCTGGAATGAAGGACACGATCAGGTAGAGAGAGAGAGAGGAAGGGTAAGTCAACCAGGAGCTGGACACTACAGGGGCCCAGCCTTGTGATAGTAAATTTAAAGTGTCAATGTGATTGGACCACATGGTGACTAGATATTTTGTCAAACATTCTGGGCTTCTTTTAGGTTGCCTTTATGTGAGATGAAAACATTAAAATTGGTAGACTGAGTAAAGCAGATAATGGTCTTCAATGTGGGGAGCTCTTTCTTTGGTGCTTTAACAACAGAACACACACTGGGTAATTTCTCAAAAACAGAAACTTATTTGTCACAGAACAGGGAGCTGAGAAGTCCAAGATCAAAGTTCCAGTGCTGGCATCTGGTGAGGGCTGCTGAGCACTCTTCTTCCAAGAGTGAGTCAATTCCTTACAATAAATCTTGAGGTAGGTGGATGGGTGGATGGATGGATGATAGATTCTAACAGCACTTCTCAAAAGCACAATATCCACATGACTCCCAGTCACCCCATCCCACAAAGGCTTCTCCAGTGACCCGCACCCCAAAAGCCCCAGGTATCCTCCCTACCTCCTTCGGGTAACTGCCAAACTCAGCCTGCAGAGCAAGGACACCCAGCTGCAGCAGTGTCTGATCGTCACAGCGCAGTCTCTCCTCTAGGATATCCTTACGAAGCTGCAGGTAGAACTGATGCTTGGTCACGCTGTGCCTGGCAAAGACATGCTGGCTTGGAGACGCCGATGCCAAGAATGGGAGAATGCAAAAGATGAGGCCTGCTCATGGGGGGGGGGGCGGAGAAGTGGGAAGGGAGACACAAGAGAGTGCAAGCCAAGGAGCCCCGAGGACAACACCAGGAAGACTAGTGAGGTCTCCTTCTGCCCCCTGTGCCAGGCATTTCATACAACACCCACAAGAGGTCTCCTGCTGTGGTTCAAGCAGAAAAAGTGTCCAGTGAGCAAAGGAGTGCAGGAGTGGTGACCAACTCCAGCCCCCACCCCTGTACTGCTGGCTGTGTTGGACAGAGGAGGGTCATGATGGGTGGAGGAGAAAAAAGATTGACCTTGAGCAGACTGTGCTTGAAACACAAGGGCAAGTTCCTATTCTGACCAGAGCCTGCCTCAAGAAACTGATCTCTTAGAGTCCCACCAATGGAAGATCAGTCACTGTCTCTGCTGCCATTTGCATGTAATTTATAGTTCACAAAACAGAGGCCAGTGACATCATCCTGGCCATATATGAAGGCCTCAAGGGACAAGGGACAGGAAGCAGCACTCACCTGAGCAATCCACAGTGGCTGACAAAGAACTTGATCCGCAGAAAAAGCGTGAAGGTAACCAGGGCAGTCTTCAGGGGCTGCTCCCTCCAGCCTTCAGGGGCTATTTTACACAATCTGGTTTCATTGTCCAGGAAAAAGAATTCTTTGCCTGAGAAGGAAGTTGAGAGTTTGGAAGGAGAAGCAGTAAGAAATGCCCCAGCCCTCAGACTCTAGCCAAGTCCTACCCAGAAGGGTCAGATTAAGCCATGCTAGAATAGAAAAGAAGAGAAGGAAGTCCCTGCCATACCTGGTCTCCAGGAGCCTTTGCTGGAGTTATAAGGGAGCAAGAGCAGGAGACAGAGGAAGTATATCAAGGAAGAAAAGCTTGACACCAAGAGAAGAAAATATGATCATGCTTTCAGGACTCCATACCCACAGCTCGACCAACCACAGATCAAAAATAGTACCAAAAAAACTCATCTGCACTGAATATGTATAGGATCTTTTGCCATGGCTCTCTAAACAATATAGCTTAACACTGATTTAAACTACATTTACAGAGCTGGAGAGACAGCTTGGTGGTCTAAGCATCTGCTTGGCAAGCGCAAGTACCCAGATTTGATCCCAGGTACCACACGCCATGCTGTCCCTGGAAACCCTGGGAATGACATGCTGGCCATTGAAACCAGGCATGATGGTGCATGCCTGTAATCCCAGTGCTGGGGAGGCTGAGAGAGGGGATCATTATGAGTCTGAGCTGCATAGTAAGATCTTGTGCCAGAGAAATAAATAAATAAATAAATAAATAAATAAATAACAGGATTTACATTGAATTAGGCAGTCTAAGTAATCTAGAGACAGTTTAAAGTACACAGAAGGCAGGGGGTTATACAGTTCATATGCAAATACTATATAATTTTATAGAAGAGATTTGAACACATTTTGTGGGGATCCTGGAACTAATCCCCTATAGATACTGAGTGTTCATATCAGGGAGATATGACTTAATATCTGCTTTCCAGCTGGCATCTTTTGTAGACAAGATGAAAAGGAAAGGAAAGCAGTGGCCTTAAGTCCCTGGCATGTGCCAGGCCCTTCTGCATCAGCGAGACCACCCCCACCTACCCAGCCCCAGCCTGTCCTGGGCTGAAGTCTGTGTCCTCTTGCAGTCCATATGCTGAAACTCTGCCCCCCCCCATAGTGGGGGGCTGTGGAGGTGAGACCTTAGGGATACGTGAGGTGTGAGGGTGAGGTCCAGGGTGGGATTGGTGTCCTCATTTGAAGGAAGAGAGACACCAAAGAGCTGTCTCTTGTCATGCAAGGACCTATGAGAAGGTTTCCATCTGCAAGCCAGTGGGTCTGCACGAGGAGCCAAATTGGCTGGCAGCCTCACCCTGGACTTCCAGCCCACAGCTGTGGGAGATGAATGTCTATTCTTTAGACCATCCAGTCTAGGATATGTGATGATAGCAGCCCAACGTGACAAAGACTGGGCATAAGGGGAGTCACATTTACCCTTTGACCCTAAACCTTCAACTCCCTCTGCATTTGTCTTCTAGTCCTTCTGAGAGGGAGGTCGTGGCAGCCCAGCCACCAAAGGCACTGCCCCCAGCCTGACTCCCACAGCTTGGTCATTCTCGGCCATTCCCTGGCCCTGTGCCAATGCACCCCTGAAGCATTTTCCCCTCCTCTGAGCACAAGTTCAAAATAGTGTAAAATAGCCAGCCTAGACATGGGAATCCCACCTAGCCCCTACCATGAATACTTCTGGGGAATGGCCTTCTCTCCACAGGGCACATGCTCACTGGAGGGCAGGCAAGTGTCCAGGTAGTTCTAATGGCTGTCCCCTCACAATGCCAATCCCTCCTCCACCCTCACCCTTGCTGCTAAACCTGAGTCCCCATGCCAGACTCACCCTCCCTTTAGAGTTCCTTCTCCCCCAGGGATGGAGCAAACCCGCCCCAGACGACTTGTGTCCAACCTCAAACTGGCCACTTCTCAGGGATTTTCCAAGGAGTGCCCTCACTCAATAGCTTCAAGAATCACTCATGGGGGCAGAGTTGAGAGCAGCTGCCCAACAGGGAGAAAGCAGGCAGGATTGCACTGGGAGAGTTTTTACTTAGACTTCATGTTATAGATAAACAAAAACACAGTGTTTCCTGGAAGTGCACTTATACATCCCTTACAAAAGGTCAGACACCTTTCAGGTTTTATGTCTTCTTTTGGGTTCTTACACTAGGGAGACAATATGATGCTATTCTTGTTTTGAAAATCTGTAACATATGTATTGTTGTATGCTACTGTTTGTTTCTTTGTTTCTTATTTTTGTTCTTGCTTTTGTTTCTACTGTTCAGAATAAAATAAAATTAAACTAAAAATAAATAAGTATAAATATAAATATAAATATAAATAAAAGGTCAGATAAACCTCCACTAACCATAATTCTTTCACAGAACATGCCAGTTTTTCTTCCTTTTCTTATAGAGGTATTTTTGGGAGAGTTGATGAAAAGCATGGAGATGACAAGGACACCTAGCCAACCTCACTGTGGCACACAAAGTAATCACAAACTTGTGAGCTTCTTACACTCACAGGAGCACAGGTACTACAGAGCTTCTGACAGTACAACAGGGGGATGGGTCAGGATCGAACTGGAAGCCTGTAAAACCCCAACTCAGCCTGCTTCTCATTTCCCCCTCCGCACAGTGGGCAGCGAACTTCAGCTGCAGCACGGAGATATTTGCAGTAGAGAAAAATAAAAGGCCCTTGATGGAAGGGAAGAGATGGGAAGGAAAAAGGCTGGAACAGTGCTTAACAGGCTCCTGGGGTCAGGTGCTGAGTGCCATTAGTCCTGCAGATTAAACAGAAATATTTCTAACACTTGCCTGCCTGGCTTCAGCACACTGAGAAATCACCCAGGCCTGCAAGCCCTAAACCCTAGCATCCCACACTCATTATTTCATGGAAATCCACGTGCAACTGGCACTTTCCACACAAGCACCTGACACCCTTGCTGTACTGTCTCATGCTTAGGTGTGCAAAGCGAAGCATTCTGGGATCAAGCACAGAGGATACAGAGCTCAGGTGCTGGATACCTGGGGCGCTGGAACCACCAGGCCAGCAGTGGGCTCCCAGAGACACTCACCTTTCTCATAAGCCAAGCTGAAGTAGGTGGCATCCCCAAGGTTGGCGAAGGACATGACGACATCGAAGACAGCTCCCACTGTGGACTCAATGTCACATTTCACCTCCAGACCCTGGCCACTCAGCAGAACCACGCAGACATCCCTGAGAGCCAGGTAGGATCTCCCCTTTTTTGTCTGAAAAACACCAACAGTAGCATTGGTTGCCACAATAACTGAGACATTGAGCCTTGAACTTGTGCTAGTTACTGTGCCAGGTGCTTTGCATGTAGTGTCTCATTTAACTCAAGCAACCCCGAGAGGAGTGTGCTTATGATCCCATTCAGACCCGGTAAGGGGCTTGTCCATGGCTGCAGAGTGAGTAGGAGAGGCACCTGGAGGTGGACCTGAGCTCTCTGCCCCTTTCCAGGAGCAAGCTCTGATCTGAGGACTGTATGGGAGGGCTTTCTTCATATAGTCCTGGGCAGGGCTGGTCACATGGGCACACTCTGAGATACCCTGGTTCCTGCCCTAAGCCCCCTGCACACCTCAGTCACCTGAGGGTTGCTGTAAGGTGCTGACTCAGAAACCACTCTGAGGTGGTTCTATCAGTCTAGGGCAAGGTCTGGGATTTTAATGCCCTCTAGGTGACTCGTGTGTAGTTAGAGCTGAAAAACCATGAGAGAGCAGGTGACCAGGCTAACAGTGTATCACTGGGAACCTGTGCCCCAACAGGCCATGTTTGGGTCCCGTTCTCTGAAGTCCCCTGGAAATTTTTCATAATCCTACATTTGAATGCACATTTTCCTGAGGATGATGGCACAATGGAACATTGCTGGAGCTCCCTGTGACCCTGCCGCTCTACCTCCCTGGCATGGGATCTGACTATCAACTCCTCTGTCCCCTGGACTCTCAGGCCTGCGCCAACCTCCCCTTCTCCCTCCAGTTCCCCAGTCTCTATTGCCCTCTATCCGGGGTGCTCACGGCTCACATTCTCCCCCAACTGTACCCCTTGAAGAAGGCTGGCACAAGCAGAAGTGCCCCCAGAACATCTCAGAGTGGGCATGGCAGCAGCTCTTTCTGTGGGCAACTTGGCATAAACAAATGTCTCACACGCCTCCAATCCAGGTACCCATAAGGAGGTTGTGATTCCTCAAGGAACACATCTGTCTGCTCTGGGGCAGCAGAGATATGGGAAGGGAGTGTGACCTTTCTACCCTGCGTAGAGCATGATTCAGGAATTCAGCAGGTAGAGCAGGGGAGCTAGAGTCATAGGTCAAGAACCTGGGGACACAGGAGGGTTTCTGTTTACCCAGTGCCAAGGGAATGTGACGTTAAATAGCAAATACAAAACACCATGTACGGGCTTGGGATGTAGCTCAGGAGTAGAGCACTTGTCTTTGAAGCTCTGACTTCAATTTCAAGCACAACAAAGGAATATGGGAGAGAAGAGAGAAGCAGAAAGGGAGGCAGGGAAGGAGGAAAAACAAAAGAAAGCCACTATGAACAGAGACAGAAAGTGACTGAGACAAAATAACCTCAGATAAAAAAGAAACATTTTATATTTTAGACTACTAGTTTCGCACAGGGTGTGGTGGCCCAGCAGCCTGTAAATTAGGTGGTCAGCCCCCGTGAAGCCTCTCCCAGCTGGGACAGCCAGGCTGCGGGCAAAGGGAAACTGTTTTGTTTCCCGCAGCCAGGAGGCGCACAGAGGTCCTTCTCACTACGTATGCTCATAGGTTGGTACTGCGAAGCCTCCAGAGAAACGTTGCTACACTGGTTGAGATCTAAAATGCCCCCAAAGCCTCATGTGTGTGGAAGGTGATTGGATCGTGGGTGCTATACTCATCAGTACGTTCATCCGTGGTGAAGTCGCAGTGAGCGAATGTGCTGCGAAGAGGTGGAGCCTGGTGAGGTGATCACTTGGGTGTAACCTGGCAGGGTTATTTTTGCCTCCGGTGCTTCCCTCCCCTCTTAGCTTCCTGCCTTAGGTGGAGCAGTCTTCCCCTGCCAGCCTCTTGCGCCATGTTGATCCTGCCTTGGCGCAAAAGAAAATGGATTGAAACCAAGAGCCAATAAACCTTTTGTCCTTTAAGCTGTGGTCTCGCAATGGCAAAATGACTGATAGAGCAGCCATAAAGAAAAATACTCAAAGGGAGACACAGGGGGCTGTGCAGACCAGTGATGTCAGGGATTGTAGGCAACAGACAGCAGCTGTTCTATTCCAAGCCAGAGGCAGAGTCCCAAGGGACATCCCAGGTACAGGGTTGAAACAGAGGCCCAGGCAGTCTTCCTTGGGAAAGCCTTGGGGCTCCTTTTCATTCTTCTTGACCCCTGCAGAGATGCTGGGTCCAGGAGCCCCTCTATGGATTACAAATAGGCTCATAAGTCTGGAGTCTTGGTCAAGAAGCTTGCCAGGATGAAGCACACCCCACAGAACCCCAGCATTCTTGCTGTAGGGGAAGTTGCCCTCATGGTGGTAGGCATTTCCACCTGCCTGATACTGGAAGAGTCTGCAGTTGCCTAAGCTGTGCAACCTCCAGGGAGCAAGAAGGGGAGTCATCCCTTCCTTCCTACGCAGGGGGTGGGCTTATATGTGTAGAAGGGTGAGGACCGGGCACATGGCTCACAGGGGACCAGCAGAAGAGGGACTGACTCAGTGCTGTAGAGGCTCCTAGGGACCTAACACTGTCCCTGCAGCTCCACCTGAGGCCAAGTGCAACGTGCACTCAGAAGGCTGCAGATCCCGAGAGCACATCACCGTGACACCTCTGATCCATCACACACTGCATGTCATGCCGCCTGCACAGGGCTAGAATTCTGAGCTTTGGGCACCTCAGTCCGTGGAATCCTATAGAAGCATGAACTTACAGCCAGCTGAGCCAGGGGAGACCTTCTGCCACCCATTGAGCTTCTCTGAACTGCAAGGGAAGGGTCTTCCTGGGTGTAGTGCCAGGACTTGGAGGCACCCACCAAGCCTGCTATCTCCACAGCCCTCCTTTACAGTGCCGAGGCAGAGGCCTGAGAGCCAGGCTACAGCACGGCCAGGCTGGTAATCAGACAGGTTCTCCCGCTCTAGAGGTGAGGGAGACAGGAAGGGACATTCCAGTGCACCACACTGATGGAGACTTCTGGTCCAGCCCCAGAGGGGACAGCAGGGACCCAGGCCTGGAGACAAACAGGTGCATGCCAAGGAGCTCAAGATGAGGCCATCCCAGACACCAGGGAGATGGGGCTGTCTGGGGTTTCTGGCTGAGTGACCCCCTCCCACCCAAGCCACTGTTACCACAACTGATCCTGGCAGGTGCAGCGTCACAGGGGCCTCGGCAGCCAGCAGGTGGAACTCCGGCCTGGAGAACTGGGGAAACAGTCAGTCACTGACTGGAGGCAAAAGGACGGCTCCAGGCTGGGAGCTGGGCTTCCCTCTGAGCTCGCCTTCCTCCCTGCTCCCTAGCCCTCTGCCACCCTAAGGCCAAGCCATGGTCGACAGCAGAAGCTGTGCAGGTGTGGGAGGAGATTGGCTATGCCCAGCACATAGCAGGGAGTGCTGCATCCTTAGCAGCTCCTTAGTCACACAGCGTTGAGTCACCTTGCATATGTATCTCAAGTATAAAACACACTGTAGAAATATATAT